AAGATTCTTTTAGTGAGTGTTCTCCTATTACAAGAGAGAGTGTAATTTGTTCTCTTCTTGTATATAGAGAGAAGTGTTGTAATTTCTTCCACTTAGTGAAAATCTTTTCTACTGGTGCCCGTGGTTTTTCCCTCATTTGTTGGGGGTTTTCCACATATTCTGTGTCACTTTTCCTACTCCTTAATCTCTTATTTTTGTGATATTTATCTTGCTACTCTAATACCCAACAATGGTATCAGAGTTGTTAGTGTTGGTTTCTATTTCTGCTGCGGCATACGGTTACTATTCACACGTGTGGTTGTATACTTTTGCAGTGATTGTTAATGTATACTAGATTTATTCTAGTGTTCAGTAAAAATATACAATACTGCTCACGTATACTATTTTATTCATGGTGAAATTGTGTAAACCAATTCAATGAGAAAAAAATGGCTGCAAAATTTGAGATTGAAAAATTCAGTGGGAGTAATTTCTCCCTGTGGAAAATAAAGATGCAGGCAATCCTTAGGAAGGATAATTGCTCACCAGCAATTAAAGGTAAACCTACATATATAATTGATGAAAAGTGGAGAGAGATGGATGACAATGTTGTTGCTAATTTGCACTTAGCAATGGCAGATTCAGTTTTGTTAAGTATAGCAGAGAAGAAAACTGCAAAGGAGATCTGGGATACTCTTATCCAACTGTACAAGGTCAAGTCACTTCACAATAAAATTTTCTTAAAGAGGAGACTATACACTCTTTGAATGAGTGAATCCACTTTGGTTTCTGATCACATCAACAATTTGAATACATTATTTGCTCAACTATCTGCATCTGATTTCATAATAGTGGAAAATGAACGAGCAGAGCTTCTTCTTCAGGGTTTACTAGATTCGTATGATCAAATCGTCATCAATATTACAAACAATAATATTATTGACCGTCTATCCTTTAATGATGTCTCTGGAGTTGTTCTTGAAGAGTAATCTAGGCGTAAAAATAAGGAAGATCGACAAGAAAGTTCAAAGCAAATAGAAGCTTTGACGATTACGAGAGGTAGATCAACGAAATATGGTCCTAGTGGGAGTCAAAATCATGGTAGATCAAAATCTCAAAGATGAACAAACCTCAAATGCTACAATTGTGGCAAGAGAGGGCACTTGAAGAAAGAATGTTGGTTCAACAAGAAGAATGGCGAGAAGTCTTCTGAAGCAAGTACATCTTAAGGATGTATTGCTAGTACCTCCGATGATGGAAAAATCCTTTACAGGTGATCAGCAGTTAGTACCAAAGGAAAAATTCAACATACTGATGGTTGGATAGTAGATTCAGGAGCGACATGGTACATGACTCCACGACGAAACTAGTTTTGCACTTACGAACCTATCTCGGAAGGACATGTATTGATGGTGAATGACCATGCTTTGGAAATTGCTGGAGTTGGTACTGTCAAAATGAAAATGTATGATGGTACTATCTGCACACTTTAAGGGGTACGACATGTGAAAGGATTGACAAAGAATTTGTTGTCTATTGGGCAACTAGATGACCTCGGATGCAAGACCCGTGTTCAAGGTGGGATCTTGAAAGTGGTGAAAGGTTTGCTAGTAGTGATGAAAATAAAGAAGGTCACTGCAAATCTATACATGCTTTTGGAAGACACGATGAAAGGAGCAGATGCATCAGTAGAGCTGGAAACCAGGAAGAAACAACGATGATATGGCATCGCAGACTAGGCCATATGTCAGAACGAGGCTTGAAAGTTCTTGTAGAACGTAATCTTATACCTGGGCTCAAGTCGGTAAATTTACCTTTTTGCAAGCATTGTGTGATAAGAAAGCATTATAAACTAGAGTTTGCTAAGTCAACTTCTAGAAGAAAACACATACTATACTTGATTCATTCTGATGTATGGGAGTCACCGGAAATGTCCATTGGTGGGAAAAATATTTTGTATGATTCATTGATGATTACTCCAGGAGACTATGGGTGTACCCAATCAAGAGAAGTCAAGCGTGTATTTAGTATTCAAGGAGTTCAAAGCACAAGTGGAACTTGAAATTTGGAAAAGAATTAAGTACTTGAGGACAGATAGTGGACGAGAATATACAAATGGTGATTTCCTGACATTCTGTAAGCAAGAAGGTATTAAACGACAGTTTACTATCGCTCATACACCTCAGTAGAATGGTGTAATAGAGAAGATGAATAGAACTCTCCTGGAGAGAACGAGAGATATGCTGAAAACAATAGGATTGGCAAAGTCTTTCTGGGCAGAAGTTGTCAAAACTGCCTGCTACGTGATAAATTGATCGCCATCAACTGCGATCGATTTAAAGACACCAATGGAGATGTGGAAGGGAAAAATGGGTGATTATTCTTCTTTGTATGTATTTGGATGTCATGTGTACGTGATGTACAACTCTTAAGAAAGAACAAAGTTGGACTCAAAATCCAGGAGATGTATATTCTTGGGTTACGTTGGAAATGTGAAGGGGTATCATCTGTGGGATCCCACTGTCCATAAGATTGTTGTTAGCGGAGATGTAATCTTTGTAGAAAATGAACTGCAAAAGGAACAAAAAGATGACCACGCTATAAAGGAGATTACTACATTGGAGATGGAGGAAAAGTCACGAGAAAATGATTCTTCTGAAGCAGAGCCAGAGCACGAAGAACAAGAACCAATTGAGGTCAATAACGTAGATCCCAGAAGAACCACACATCAGATAAGAAAACCATCTTGGCACTCAGAATATGTGATGGAAAGTCAAGATGCATATTGTCTTCTATTAGAAGATGGAGAACCATCAACCTTTCATGAGGCATTAAATGGTTCAAATGCTTTTTTGTGGATGGTAGCAACACAAGAGGAAATTGAAGCCTTACATAGAAGTAACACATGGGAACTTGTTGAACTTCCTAAATGTCCGAAAACCATCGGCAACAAATGGGTGTTCAAAATTAAGTGAGATGGAAACGATTAGGTAGAACGATATCGTGCAAGACTGGTGGTCAAAGGATATGCTCAGAAATAAGGTATTGATTTCAATGAGATATTTTCTCCAGTGGTAAGACTCGCCACAATCAGAGTGGTCTTGGCGATGTGTGTTGCATTTGATATAAATATAGAGCATCTTGATATAAAGACCGCGTTTCTTCATGGAGAACTTGAAGAGGAAATATATATGCTCCAATCCGAAGGCTTTGTAGAACAAGGAAAAGAAAACTTAGTTTGTAGGTTGACCAAATCTATGTACGGTTTAAAACAGACGTTAAGGTGTTGGTACAAGAGATTTGATTCCTTCATCATGAGCCTTGGATACAACAGATTAAGTTCAGACCATTGTACGCATTATAAAAGGTTTGATTATAATGATGATTTTATCATTTTGTTGTTGTATGTGGGTGACATGCTGGTGGTAGGCCCCAACAAATACCGAGTCCAAGAATTGAAGGAAAAATTGGCTAGGGAGTTTCATATGAAGGACTTGGGACCAGCACACAAGATTTTAGGGATGCAAATTCATCGAGACAGAAAAGACAGAAGGATTTGGCTTTCTCAGAAAAATTATCTTCAGAAAGTCTTGCGCCACTTTAACATGCAAGATTGTAAGCCAATCTCTACCCCACTTCATTTCAATTATAAATTATCCTCAAGTATGAATCCTAACAATGAAGCGGAAAGGATAGAAATGTCTCGAGTATCGTATGCATCAGCGGTGGGAAGCCTTATGTATGTTATGATATGTACTAGACCAGATATTTCTCAAGCAATTGGAACGATCATTCGGTTTATGGCAGATCCATGTAATGAACACTTGAATGTTGTTAAGATGATCCTTAGATACATCAAAGGAACCTCAGGTGCTACATTATGTTTTGGGGGATTAGAATTCACTATCAGAGGCTATGTTGATTCAGATTTTGCAAGCGACTTTGATAAAAGAAAATCTACTACTGGCTATGTGTTCACACTTGCAGGAGGAGCGGTAAGTTGGTTATCCAAACTGCAGACTGTTGTAGCTTTGTCTACTACAGAAGCTGAATACATGGCCGCTACCCAAGCATGTAAAGAAGAAATTTGGATTTAAAAGTTATTGGAAGAACTCATGCACAAGCAACAAAAGATTACTGTGTACTGTGACAGTCAGAGTGCCTTGCACATTGCAAGGAATCCAACTTTTTATTCCAGGATAAAACACATAGAAGTTCAATACCATTTTGTTAGAGAGGTAGTAGAAGAAAGAAGTGTGGATATGTAGAAAATTCACACTAAAGATAACATAGCAGATGCAATGACGAAGTCGATTAACTCTGATAAGTTTGCACGGTGTAGGTCTTCTTATAGCCTATTAGAGGCGTAATCAAGATGGAGTTGGCAAGGTAGAGAAGATTTTGGAACATCACAAATGTGACTTTAAGTGGGGGATTGTCAAAGATTGTGGTCATAGTCAAATATCGTGGTCATGGTAAAAGATTATAGTCAAGGATTGTGGTTGAATAAAATCAAAATTTGTGGACCAAGAAAGAAACACTCATGGCTTTGCACCCATGGTTTTGTGAAGATGAGCACCTATAAATAGAGGTGGATTTCTCATTCCTAACACAACACAAAGCATTGCAACATAACATAAAAGAAAATTTTAGAGAGATAAAATATATTGTATTTTCTCCTATAAGGTTATTTTAGTGAGTGTTCTTCTATTACAAGAGAGAGTGTAATTTGTTCTGTCCTTGTATATAGATAGAAGTGTTTTAATTTTTTCCACTTAGTGAAAATCTTTTCTACCGGTGCCCGTGATTTTTTTCTCATTTGTTGAGGGTTTTTCACGTAAATATTTTGTGTTATTTTTCTTACTCCTTAATCTCTTATTTTTGTGATATGCATCTTACTACCCTGATACCCAATATTTTCTTTTGAATTTAGTGACAAAGCAGAGATATTTTTTTTTTATTTCTCTCTAAATTTTCATTTGTAGTAATTTAACTTTGTTGTAAAGAAGCATAACATTTACCTTGTTCACCATCAAAACTATGGTAAGTGAAAGTAACACTTGGATTAGGACCTTCTCTTTGATACCTTTTAACTTTCCAAATAACATCGCTGAATCCTTTTGATCCACCTAATTAATTGCACAACAAATTAATGACTATATAACTCTGTAGCAAATAAAATCTTATTTTGATAATGTAAAAGTTAAACATACCATGAAGTGTATTGTTTCCTTCATTAGCAACTAATTTGTAATGCTTTCCATTTAAATTGAACTGAGCTCCTCCAATTCTGTTAGCAACTCGTCCAACAGTAGCTCCAAAGTATGTTGAATCATTCTGCATATAAATTAACCACATTTGATGTTGAAAGAATTGTTTTATATTAATAAAAAAAATTAAGAAGTGGAAAATTATTGTTTATAAAATTAGAATTAATTTTTCTTTTACGTATATTCACCTTAGAATTAATGATGTTGTGTTAATTTATTTCAATCGGTAGCTCTAGGTCATCCTATTGCAACATTTTATTTATTTATTCTTATGCATTTTTCTAGGGAATTGAGGAAGTGAATAATTTTTTTTTAGATTAAATAGAACACTATTTGTTTGAGAAAAAAAAATAGATCAGATTTGAGGTTAAGAGGTTGAAGGAGTTAAACTTAGCCTTACTTAATAAATAGTGTTGAGAATTTTAAATAAAACAGAAAGTTTTTGGTATAGGGTATTGAGTGTTTGGTATGATGAAGAAGGGAACGATTATGTTTTAGGGAAGTTGGTGGATTTGTTTGGTTGAGGAATTTGATTAACAAAAGAGAGAGTGTTAGTTTGGTTGGTGGAGGGTGTTAGAATTAATTTCTTTTTTTAACGTATATTCACCTTAGAATTAATGATGTATATACCTTAGAATTAATGATGTTCTATTAATTTATTTCAATTGGTAGCTCTAGGTCATCCTATTGCAACATTTTATTTATTTATTTTTATGCATTTTTCAGGGGGATTGAGGAAGTTTTTTTTTTTTAATTAAATGGAATACTATTTATTTGAAAAAAAAGAAAATGGAGGTTTGGGTTAGGAAATTGAAAGAGTTAAACTTAGCCTTACTTAATAAATGGTGTTGGAGAATTCTAGATGAAACAAGAAGTCTTTGGTATAAGGTATTGAGTGCTCAATATGGTGATGAAGGGGACGTTTATGTTTTGGGGGAGGTGGTAGATTCGTTTGGTGGAGGAATTTGAATAACATAAGGGAGGGTGTTGGTTTTGGTTGATGGAAGGTGGCGGCTCAACAACAATGATAGGAAGATAAGAGACATGGCTTCTACTTTGCTTTGGAAAGACATGTGACTTGATGGTATTCCTTTGAAGGTTAGATTTAGCAGGTTGTTTTATTTTGCAGAGAATGTGTTGGCGTCAGTCGAAGAGATGAATGAGTTGGGGTGGAGGAAGAATGGTGAGGCGTGGAAGTTGTGTAGGAGGTTGTTTGCGTGGAAGGAGGAGTTAGTGGCAGAGTGTATTGAAAGGTTAATCTCAGTTGTTTTGCATGTGGACATAGAAGATCGTTGGATTTGGAATTTACATTCCTCTTCTTACAACACGATAAGAAATGTTTAAATTTTCCTGAAGTTGACGATAAAAACAATCAGGATAATTCCTAATTTCTATGGTTAAAGACTGTGTCGCTTAAGGTATCTATTTGTATTTGTCGGTTGTTTTTGAATCTTATTCCGATGAAGGACAATTTGGCTAGGCAGAGGATTCTTCCTACGACTGATCAAAGATGTATGGCGAGTTCTAGTGTGGACGAAGATAAAGATTATATGTTTGTAAATTGTGATTTTTTTGGTAGATTGTGGCCTACAAGTTCTAATTGGCTAGGTTTCTCAATGACATTTCAACGAAAGTTATTGGATTATCTCTTACAGTTTGGAGGGCTAGGCAATTTTTTTGAAAAATGCATGGCTGCTTCTTAATACTATTTAGCCCTCTGTGATTTGGGTTATTTGGAAAGACCAAAACACTCGTATTGTTTAGAAAAAAAAGGAGCATTGAAATGCGTTATTAGAAAGGGTAAAACTTTAGTCTTTTAGGTGGTTAAAGTCGAAATATGTTCTTTTTATTTTGATTACCAGATTTGGAGGCAAAGTCCTTTATCTTGCTTATCTGTTTTATAGTCAGTTTTGTGATTTGTCTTATTCAAAATTTTGTGTTGTAATTTTGGATTCTTTTATTTTCATTTGATACATCTAGTATTGGAGTGACTTATTTTGATCGTTAATATAATTCTCATTTTGGCTTTTTAAAAAAAATATTTTTATGAAGTCAAATTTTAACAATTAAATCATTAAAAAAATATTTAAAAGAAAAGCAGAACTAATGATAATTAAATTGATTACATATGATTAAATATAAAAAATAAATTGTTAAAATATATAAGTAAATTTGACATTTTTTCCTCAAATAATTTAATGGTTGGAATTTCACATTTTAAATTTGCGTCTCTGCATCTAATATTCTTACACAGCTACTAACTAAGCTAACTTAATGAAATGCAAAAATTTAACAGCGTAATAGAATCTTTTTAAAATACGATATTTATAAATCTAAGACGAATTGAGTGATTATGTTTGTTGAGTTTCATTCTTTTGCTTCTTTACCTCATAGTTTTGTCTTCTATTTTGTGACTCTTATTCCTAAGGTTAAGAACATTTGTTCTTTGGGAGAGTTTCGGCCTAAATCCTTGGTGGTCTCTATATATACGGCGGTTGCTAAGGTCCTGGCTAAGAGATTTTTTTGGGTAATGGATAAGTTGATTTCTCATAATCAGACGGCCTTCTTAAAAGGGAGAATGTAGGTTGATGGGGTTGTATTTGTTAATAAGTTGATTGACTTGGCTAAGCGCACTAAAAAGGTTTGTGTTATCTTTAAAGTAGACTTTGAGAAAGAATATGCCTTTGATAGTTGAATTTCTTATATTATATGCTGATCAGGTTCATTTTAATGAAAATGGAGATCTTGGATGTCTGTTTCCTGGAAACTTGACTGTGTTGGTTAACGGCTCCCCAATCCAAGAGATTAATATCTAGAGGGGACTGAAGAAAGGAGATCCCTTAGCACATTTCCTTTTCCTTTTAATGGTGGAAGACCTTAATGAGTTGCTCAAAAGGGACACAAAGCTTAATCTTTTTTCATGTTTCAAAGTTGGCTCCTCTAATTTGGAGATTTCTCACCTTCATTATGTCGATGATAAATTAACCTTAGGAGTTCCCTTGGTTGATAATATTTGGGCTCTTAAAGCGGTTCTCAGGGAGTTTTAGTTAACTTCAGGCCTTGGGGTTAATTTCCATAGGAGTAGCTTGATTGGGATTAATATTGATCCTTCCTTCTTAGCCTTAGCAGAGGGTTTTCTTCATTGCAAGATTGAGTTCCATCCTTTTAAGTACTTAGGGCTTCCTGTAAGTGCTAACCCTTGGTTAGAGTCTACTTAGGAACCCTTAATTAATGTGATTTGGAAGACACTTCACTCTTGGAGTCATAGGTATGTAAGTCTAGGAAGGAGAGATATTCTCCTAAATTTGGTCGTCATTGTTAGTCTTATATTCTTTCTCTCCTTAAAAATTCCTATGAAGTTGTGCAAGAAGTTAGTGAGAATTCATAGGAGGTTTCTCTGGGGAGGTATGAAAGGGGATTCTAAGATCTCTTTAATGAAATAGTCTAATTTGTGTAAGCCTAAGAAGATTGGGGGTTTAGGTGTTAGAGATCTTCAAATGGTTAATCTAGCTCTCTTAGCTAAATGGAGAAGGAGACTTATTTCAGATACTTCTGGTCTTTGCTTCGATATCTTTTTTTTTTCCAGGTATGGCCATTTCATTATCACCTCCTTATGCGGGGGTCAGTTTGTGAGGACTCGCTCCATCTCTTATTGGTGGAAAGGATGTCCCTTCTAGGATCTAAACAGGATTATCCTCCTAATTGGTTTGAGATTGAGTTTGTTAAGAAGGTTGGGTCAAGTCTTGAGACATCTCTTTGGAAAGATCCTTGGATAAGGGGTATGCCTCTTAAGACCATGTTCCAAAGACTCTTTACCATCTCTAAGAAACAGGATGACACTGTGGGTGAGATTAGTAGGTGGGTAGATGGGAGGATTTCTTGGGACCCTGGTTGGAGGAGATCATTTTTTTCCAGGAAACTATGGCCACTGATTTTTTTTCTCGATCCTAAGAGAGTTTTAGTTTAAAGAAAAGAATGATAGGTGGGTTTGGAGAAATACTAGAGATGAATTATTCTCTGTGGTTTCTGCTTATTATATCCTAGATGGCCTTTGCGCTTCACCTAAGGATCCTTTATCTTGGGAGAATCCATTACTTCTCCTTATTTGAGATAGTTGGGCTCCCTTTTAAGTGGTGGTTTTTTCTTGAAAACTCCTGCAAGACAGAATTCCTATTAAGGAAAACCTCTTCAAGAGGAAGGTTATTGCCGACTCGGAGGGTGTCTCTTGTATATTTTGCGGGTATTGTATTGAATGAACCTCTAATTTGTTTGTAACTTGTAACCTAACTTCTAGTGTTTGGTATAGGATATTCAAGTTATTAGAGGTTCAATTGGCTCTTCCTAAAGAACTAGGGCTTCTTTTTGAATTTTTTCTTTCTTTAAGTGTCAAGGTTAAGCTTAGGGGTGATCTTGGCATGATTAGACATGCAGTGACATGGGATATCTGGTTGGTGCATAATGATAAGGTATTTCTTGGATCGTCATTAAATGTGAAAAATGTGGTACATAAGAGTATTTTTGTTGTTTGGACTTGGTTTCTTGATAGGTGTTCATCGAACTCACTCTCCTTTTCCAACTGGCCTTAGAATCCTATCTTGTGTCTTATCCAATAACAGCTCAAGAGTTTTGGCTTTCTCTAAAAGGATCAATGATTTTTAGTATTACTAGTGATTCTGTGTTCTATTGATGATAAGTCTAAAAGTTAAAGCTTTAGTTGATGATCTTCTGGTTATTTCTACGTGATCTATGCTCCGTATAAGAGTTTTGCTTCTTCTTCTTTTTTAATGTTCATTTCTCCTTGTTTATTGTTGTTATTTCCCACTTTCTTATGCAAATTGTTTTTTTAGCTTATGCTTTACACTCTTTGTACCGTCATATTTTGTTTGTCAGTAGATATTTCCCTTTGAATATATATATATATATATATATATATATATATATATATATATATATATATATATATATATATATATATATATATATATATATATATATATATATATATATATATATATATATATATATATAAAAGAATTGAATGATTTATTCTAAAAGAATATTTTCAATTTTCCACTGTTATAATTATGTGAAACATAAAATGAAAGTTGCAACTAATTATTGCACCATTAACATCATTCTGCAAGTTGCAACCCCATTATTCCCGGGGATCGCACAACTTTTTTTTCTTTTCTTTTGCAGGATAATGATAATATGTTCCACAGTTAGTACCTACACTTGTGTTTTTTGTGCACACTTGTATCTACTCCATTTATATATTAGATATTTTTTATTTTGACAATATATTTTAAATCAATATATTAAAGAATTTAAATTTTTTTATTGAATTGTGTATTTAAATTAAAAAAATTAATAAAATATATTTATAATATTTTTAAGTTTTTAATAAGCATTTTGAAAACACATGCCAGCAACTATCGATTGTATCTTAATAAGTCTAATATACTAGGTACATTTTAAAGATCAATAAAAAAAATTATGGATTCAAACTCACATCTTTATAATTATATTTTTTTCACACTAATTAAGACAGTTTAATGAATAAGTTACGTATAAATTATCTTGAATATTTAATAGGACACATTATTGAAAAAAATAAGTTTTATATATGGATAATTCGGGCTACCCATTGATTATATTCACGCATCAAATTTAATAATATTAAACATAAGGTGTGTATTAGAAAAAACTCAAATCTCATATTAGTTAAAATTACAATTTACAAATAATTTATATAGAGTGATATCACTATATAAATTCTAATTCTGACACACACTCATATCAGGTTAAAATTAGTATCTTATTAAAATAAGTTAGGTGTTAAAATTTAAATTTATTTAAAATAAAATTGTAAAGCAATTTTAAAAATTAAAAATCAAATAAAATTTAATATTATTGAAATGTATTTAGATATTATTTTGTTAAGACGCTTGATAAAAATTATATTTTAAATTAAATTTTAAAATCGAAACAAACCTCTATATATTTTTTAATTTTTTTTTTGTTTTTTTTATATTAGTACTATGTGTTACATTAATTTATAATTAATTAGTTTTTAATTTTTGTAAAGATAATTTGTTAATTTAGTTCAATTTTCTTTCTTTTTTTTTTCTTTCTATTATTAACGTATTTAGATTGGAGCTGATTTTCTAATCCTTTATTTAATTTTGTTTTAGAAAATAAATAATAATTGAAAACATTACAATTTTCTATATAGCCAACCAACCATGACTACTTGGAAGTCAAAGTGGAAAAAAACTAGTGGCCAATGAAAATTTGAATACGTAAAATATATCTATTATTTTTTCAAAATTGAACTTAATGTGGACCCTTTTTTCAATGGATTGATAGATAAACATAAAATCTATCCTAATCAAACAATAAATAATTAGTATTAAATAACTATTTTATTAATATATATTTCTTTAATGAAAACAGTATCAATTGTATAAAAAAAATTCTTTATCTTATTGCTCTGAGAATATTGAAAATCTTTCTTGACTCTGATGAATTTTTAAAACTCAATTTTAATCTATAATTTATAAAACAGAAAAAGAAAAAACTAAATGCAATTACTATGACATGTTTGTTCAATATAAGTAATATGATAGAGTAGATAACTCACAGTGTATTCCTTAATTGAATCATATCCAAGAATAACATCATCAAATTTTCCTAAACACAAATCACATACAAAAACACACAAATATTAAAACATACCATAAAACAAAAAATCAAACAGCATTTAAGAAAGATTAATATAAAGACAAAAAACAAAAAATCATGCAATCATACCTTTGTTATCAGGAAGAACAAGAGACACAATGGAAGCACCCCAATTAGTAACTTTCAAAGAAACTTCACCTTTCTTCAACTCAAATATCCCAATCTCTTCTTTCTCACCATAACCATTCCCAAATCCAAACCCTACCACAAATAAACACACAACAACCACAAAGATCTTGCTCATTTTTTTCTTGTGCTTCAACACTTTAGAAAGGGTTCTAACAAAATTTATGTATATGATGATGATGGATCATATAAAAAGGGAAATTTTGAGAGATAGTGGGAACAAAGAGTGTATGAGATATCTTCTACTTTGAGCTTCTTGTGACTAGGGACATAGCTGGCTTAAATGAACTTGGCATGTTATGTGGTGCTTCTTAATTTTCTTTATGTGGTCCCTCATTGCCTTACTCTTAAATCAATAAGTTTCTATTTTCAAGAAGTAATAAAATATAATTTTGACTAGAATATTTCTTTTTTAATGTCTAAAATTGGTCATTTACATTAAAAACTTCACGTGGTTCCTTTGGATGCATTGAATTATACTAGTTTTAAATAGGAGTTAGGATATGCCAAGTTTAGGTTTAATCTTATAAAACATTCAAGTTTTAATTTAGATCTATAATCTGTTATATAATAATTTCTGAACTTATATCTTATCCTTTTGTAAAAATTTTGTATAATATTTTAGTCTACTTAAAATTTTATGTGAATATTTTTAAATAAGTATTGAGATTAATGTCAGTGTAATAAATTTTATACTATCAATACATCACAATCATTCGTTAGTGTTATTTTTTAAATGGTTAAAAAAAAAATCAAAACATTTAAATAAATTAGCGGTTGAGTTCAACTGAAAATATAAAAAATTTTATATGACAGTACATATCAATTAAATTCTAAATAATAAGATATAGGTTTAAGAGAATTATTTAAAGAATAGCTAATTTATATTATTTATATTTTGATTTATAATTCAGCCTATTTTATCGTCTCTACATTTATACAAATTGACTCTTCAATATTTTTTTAAAGACTATAATCAAGACCCATGATATTTTATAAAGATAATTTACTTATAAGCACTATTTTTCCTTTTTTAATTATATAATATTTTTAAGTGCAATTCACGTTTTAAGTTGTTCAAAATAATATATAGAAAATCAATTGTTATACTCAACGTTCAAATATTACAAAAGATTCTCAAACATTATCTAAAGAAAGGTGGAAGAAATCTTGGAGGGAGATGATAACTTCGAAGCAAGAGAGAAGATAGATGTAAAGAAAGACACACTCGAGAAGTACGAGGACAAAACATGCTCAAAGTGTTAAAGGTCAACTCTCTCATATACTTATACAACAAGTTTTAGGTAATTAGCATACATTTTTCTAAAAATAATAATGCATGTTAGACATTTTGACAACATTATTAAATACAAATAGGGGAATGGAGAAATTTTTTTTTTACTACTAATCATAAATATGTTTGTGGATCTATGTGTTTATAGGACAACTGTGTGAGATTTTGAGTTGAATTCAAGTTTTGTTCAGAAATAATTTTTATGTATTTCGACAAGAGACAAGCAGGAAGTCGAAGATGGGTCGCATGTTATGGTCGAATGATACATATTGTAGTCGAGATCTGTTCTAATATGTATTGTCGAAATGTTTGTCGAATTGGACCTTTTGTTATGGATCCAATTGTTTAGTTAGTTTGGGTTGCAAGTTATCTAGTTAGTCTATATATAGGCTAGATCACTCAGGTTATTGAGTGAGGCGAATTGTGATATTCATTTGTAATCATTTGTAAACCCTTATGAGAAAGTGAATAGTAAACAATTTGTCCAAATCCTTCTTCTTCTTTCTTCTATCATTTTCTTCTTTCTCTATTTGTTCTAACCGTTTTTCATTGTTCATCCAAGAACTCTGTTTCTCAATCTTGATTTGTTGAAAGGTATTGTTTGTGATCACAACAAACTGGTGCGATGAGCGTGGAGAAGAAGTCATCAACAAAGTTTGAAGTTGAGAAGTTCACCGAAGTTAATGACTTCGGTTTATGACATTTGAAAATGTGAGCCCTTCTTGTTCAACAGGGTTTGCTAGAAGCGTCAAAGGGAGAAGATGTCATGGATGTTGCATTGACGGAGAAGGAAAAGACAACGATGATTGAGAAAGCCCACAACGCAATTGTTCTGAGTCTTGGTGATTAGGATCTCAGGCAGGTTTCGAAAGAGACGACGACAGGGGGTGTTTGGCTGAAACTCGAAGGGTTGTATGTGACAAAGTCCTTGGCGAATCGTATGTACTTGAAGCAGGATTTGTATTCATTCAAGATGACTGAAGATAAAGCGTTAACAAAGCAGCTGGATTCAGCAAGCTGATTCTTGATCTTGAAAATATTGATATTTCCATCAATGATGAAGATCAAGCGTTGTTATTATTGTGTTCTTTACCTAAGCCACATGTGCTTACTTCAAAGAAACCCTCTTGCATGGAAGAGAGTTTCTGACCTTTGAAGAATTTCAAGCCGCCTTATATTCGAAGGATTCGAACGAAAGAAAGGAGCATAAATCATCATCATAAGTTGGCGAAGGGTTGTCTGTAAAGGGGAAATCGTCGAACAGTGATGGTAGGTTTGATAAGAAGAAAGGTAAAACTCATCAGAAGTCTTATGATGGTGATATTTCTGGGATTAAGTGTTATCATTGTACGAAGGAGGATCATACAAGAAAGGTGTGCCATGAGCGCCTGAATAATCATAGAGGTAACGACAATGGGAATGCAACTATTATGCAAGATGATTATGAATCATCTGATGTCCTTATGGTGTTGAGCAACAACTCTTGCAAAGAGTGGATTATGGATTCTGGGGTTAGGTATGTAGCTGGCCTTAAGAGGAATTTAATTTCTTTTGGTAAATTCAAAAAAAAAGGATATGTCTTCAAAGAAGAGCAATGTATCCTTAAATTCATGAAGGGGTCAAACGAAGTCTTGAGAGGCGTGAAGAAACAAGGCTTGTATGCCCTTGAGGTTAAGGTTGTAAGTGGTTCGAAAAATGTTGCATCCACGAAACCTGTGTCAAAGATAGAACTATGACACATGAGATTGGGTCATGTCAGCGAAACAGGCCTGGTCAAATAAGTTTCAAATTGTGAAATTTAATTTAAATAGATTTTCAAAAAAAATTAATTAAAAATAATTAAAAATAATAATTCGGCCACGTAGTCTTTTCTTTCGCCATCTCAGCTGACACATCATCTCCATTAACACCGTTTGTCAATATTTGACGGAAATGACTACTTTAATTATGTTAGACAACGTAAGGGACCAATTTGAAAATTTTAAAAGAAAGAGGACTAAAATGGACCCAAAGACACATAAGAGACTAAAAAAAGTATTACGTCTATTTTTTTTATCATTAATTTTATTTAAAATTTTATTTTAATTTTATTATATTTAATAAATATTACAGATTAGTCTCTTAAAAATTACTATATTAACAAAGTTAGATCATTCTATTAACTTAATATTAAATATTGTTTTAGGTGAGACAATACTTTATTTTGACCATCTATCATAAACTTTAGTTATTTATTTTTAATAGTTTGATCTTTAAAAAATATTTTATACTAATAGACCGTGACAGTCTATTAATTGTAATAATACATCATCAAATTTTAGCATACTTTTTTATATTTTCATCTTTCTTATTTCTTTTCTTCATCTTTGTCATCGTCTTCGTACACATTCATCTCAAATTCAATCAAGTTTAAATTAAACTCGATTTTCTTAAAACTCATACTCCATCCAATAAATAAGTTTAAAAAATTTCTTAAAACTGATACTCCATCTAATAATTAAGTTTTAAAAAAAATTAAAGGATAAATTCAACTAAATTCATTATACATTTTAAACACTAATGAATCATTCTTGTAATTCAACGTGGAATATGCCTTTCGTCAGACAGGTATACATTTGTCACTAACTAATTGCTCATGTGATGTTCATGGTTTATTATGAAGTATGCACTTGTAACTAACTAATTTCAATTGAATATTAGAAATGAAATAGTTAATATTTTGAGTTTTTTAACCGGATATTTAGTAAAAGGGTCTTTCACTTTGCAAGCTTGAATGGGATAACTTCCATTACACCTCATCAAAAAATTGAAAAAAAGGTCACTCCCAAATATTTAGACAAGTCCTATTTGTTGGGTCAATTCGGAGGGAGTATTTTACACTTTTGAGTTTTTTTTTAAGAATAACACGTTTTTATGAGAGACACATTACATACTCATACAAAATTTTAAAATGATAGATGTGTAAATTTTTTAGTGTGAATTTCTCATACTAATTACGCTTGTTTTTCTCAACACTCTCTTTTAAGTGTGAATTTATCCACAAAACAGAAACTCTTTTTTTCTCATCACATACATTTGTACCGTTGTTGACTCTCTTCAATGAAACTCTCTACCCACGATCATGTGGAGATAATTTTGATATAAGTTAGCCGGTCTTTTCACTCAAATCAAACATTGATATTACTGTTGGGGTCAATTTGAGGGGTCAATGTGAAAGAATATTTTACACTTTGGGACTTTTATTTAAGAACAACACACATTTATGTGATACATATATATTACATACTCATTCAAAATCTTAAGATAATAGGTGTGTGTGTTCTCTTATTTATAAATACTCAAATATTCATATTTCTAATTAACGTGAGACTTTTTCACACTACTCACACTTGTTTTTTTCAACACTACTTAGAGTGTTATATCTTTGGCAAAGGGATTTGACTTAAAAAAATATTGTTTAAAATTTAATGTTGTCATGGGTTTGATAATTTCTAAACTAGTGTGGGGCTATGTTGGTTTTAAATGTATGGGTTAAAGGATTCTAAGTTTATCCATGTATGGTTTTTAGTTGTGCGGTATTGTAATTTATTTCTTCTGTTTTATAATGAGTGATTCGGTTAACTATTTTATACAAATTAAAAAAAAAATAATTGAAATAGAGAATGTTATTTTTATTAAAATATATTTATCATGTATTGAAAATAATGAAAGTAATATTAATTAAAGGATAAAATTAAAAAAGATGCATTAAAAATTAAAATGGATCATTCATTTTGCGACACTCTTTTATTTCAAATGAGTCACTCATTATAAGACTGAGAGAA